AAAGGCTCCGGTGGAGTCCCTCAAGCAAACCTCCGAAGCACAACGACCACCTCGCGTGCGATTGCCCACCAATGCAATCGTATGCCTGCGCGTAAAGCACTCAGCATCGGATGCTGGAACGTGCGCACACTACTGGACCGGAACTCCAGCGAGCGCCCGGAGCGACGCACTGCACTCGTCGCGATGGAGCTGGCGCGCTACAACATCGATATTGCGGCGCTCAGTGAAACCCGGCTCGCTGAGCAAGGTAAGTTGCATGAAGCAGGTGCTGGCTACACATTCTACTGGGTGGGAAACGCCGCCTCAGCTCCACGTGAACATGGGGTCGGATTTGCAATATCCGATCGCCTCCATGGCCAGCTGGTGGGTGAACCAACAGGCATCAGCGCGCGACTGATGACCGTTCGCCTACGACTCGGAAGAGGTAAGTTTGCTACTTTTATAAGCACGTACGGTCCGACCATGTGTTATCCTGATGACACGCGTGATCAATTCTACACTGAGCTATCCTCCGTGATACGGTCTGTGCCGAGGAGCGACCGACTATTTCTGCTGGGTGATTTCAACGCGCGCTTTGGGCGTGATGCATCGGTGTGGACAGATGTTATCGGTTCGCATGGCATTGGTTCAGCGAATGCGAACGGTGACAGGCTGCTCTCACTGTGTGCCACTCACGGCCTGACGATCACGAACACTCGGTTTGCACTGAGTGCGAATGATATAGCAACCTGGACGCACCCACGGAGTGGTCATGCTCACCTGCTCGACTATGTCATCGTACGTCAGCGTGATATGCGTGAAGTGCGCATGACACGTGTACTGCGTGGAGCTGAGTGTGGCACTGATCACAAGTTGGTGCGGACCAAACTGTACATATATTTTCGTAAATCTATGTATTGCACTCCCGCCGTGAATCGGCGTAAATTTAACATTCTCTCCCTCGGTACTGTGGCGAAACGTACTGAGCTGGAGAAGGCGATGGCTGCACGCCTGTGTGATGTGGAATGCATAGCCACAGTGGGCGACCTGTGGCACCACATTCGCGACCAGGTGACAGCTGCTGCCGAGGAGACCATCGGGCGCGCAAACTGTAAGCGGCCTGATTGGTTTGATGAGAACAATGCGACGATCGGCGCATTGGTGTTGGAGAAGAATGCAGCATTTGCTGCACATGTTGCAGATCCCAGTGACTTGGGGAAGAAGAGTCAGTTTCGCAAACTTCGACGGCGACTGACCCGAGAGCTCCGTCGCATTAAAAATGCATGGTGGACGGAGAAGGCGAAGCAGATGGAATGCTACGCCGAACGCCGTCAACACAAGGAATTCTTTGACTCCTTGAAGGCGGTGTATGGACCGAGATTGGAGCCGCTGAGGACACTGATCGATGGTAGTTCAGGCGCTACCTGCACACAGACTGCAGACATAATGCAGACCTGGCGAAATCACTTTGACTGTCTCTTGAACAACCGTTCAGAGATCGACTGGCCTACATTGAACGGCCTGAAGCAGCACGATGTGAAGGCGAATCTGGCGGATACGCCGACACTGGATGAGACGCAGAGAGCACTTGCTCAGCTGCGAAACGGCAAATGTGCCGGGGCCGACGGGATCCCGCCTGAAGTATTGAAACACGGCGGACCCGCGTTGTTGACTGCGCTGCACCACTTGGTGCAACGTGTATGGATTGAGGAGGAGGTGCCTCCTGAGCTGAAGGATGCCCTTGTGCTACCACTGTACAAGGGCAAAGGTAGCAAGCAATGTTGCACGAATTATCGTGGCATCAACTTGCTGAGTTGTGTGGGCAAGGTGATTGCCCGAATCCTGCTCAACCGCCTCGTCAGTCAGGTTGTGGAACCTAACGTGGCGGAAGAGCAGTGTGGATTCCGTTCGGGTCGCAGCACTATAGATATGGTGTTTGCGGCACGTCAGTTGCAAGAGAAGTGCAGAGAACGACACCAGCCATTGTACTCGCTTTTTGTTGATTTCACCAAAGCATTTGACACGGTGAACCGCGAGGCATTGTGGCTGGTGTTGGGTAAGTTTGGTTGCCCGCGTAAGTTTGTAAGTTTAATTGAATGTCTGCACAGTGGTATGCGAGCGAGGGTGCAGCTGAGTGGAGAGACCTCGGATGACTTTGCAGTTGTCTCTGGTGTGAAGCAAGGCTGTGTCTTAGCTCCTGCCCTGTTTAATATATATCTTCATGCAATGTTGTCTTGTGCTTTTGATGCCGCTTGTGCTTACGGTGTTCGTGTGGAGCACCGTATTGATGGTGGGTTGCTGAACATCCGTCGTTTCGGTGCGAGAACTCTAGTCTGTGAGACAACTATCCGTATGTTGCTGTTTGCTGACGACTGTGCGTTGTTTGCACACAGCGCGGATGAGTTGCAGCACATGACTAGTGCTCCGGCTTCGACAGCGGCAAAATTCGGGCTCACCATCAACACAAGCAAAACTGTCTGTCTCTTTCAGCCTTCACCGGAGGTGCAATCTTCAATATTGCCGCGAATCAGCATTGGTGCTGAAGTATTGGAAACCACCTCCCTCTTCAGCTACCTTGGGAGTGTGATGTCGACTGACCAGCAGCTACACGTTGAGTTGCGTATTCGCGTGTCGAAGGCAGCAGCGGCATTCGGGAAGCTTGAGTACCGAGTGTGGAACAACCATCAGCTTAGCATTGGCACAAAGCTGATGGTGTACAAATCCATGGTACTGTCCGTTCTTCTATACGGCAGTGAAACGTGGACGATGTACCGGCGGGATGTGCGATATCTCGAGCGGTTCCATCAGCAGTGTCTGCGACGAATTTTGCACATCGGTTGGGGCGCCAGAGTTGCAGACACGGAAGTGTTGCGCCGAAGTGGGATGTATGCAGTGGACTGCATACTTTTACTGAGACACCTGAGATGGCTCGGTCATGTGTGGCGTATGGATTCGACTCGGATACCGAAACAACTCTTATACGGTCAGCTGAGTATTGGGAAGCGGCACGTGGGGAAACCAAAGTTACGTTACCAGGACATGATCAAAGTGAGCCTCACACGTTCTAATCTTGATTGCAGGTCATGGGAATCGAAAGCGGTTGATCCGCGCGTATGGCGCGATCTCATCACGAAGGCAGTTGCTGAAGTGCGGGAGAAAGCCCTCATGCATGCAGAGAAGCGGCAAGCACTGATGGGTTGTTCTCCATCGACATCGAGTGCATGGTGCTGTAGCACATGCGGTCGCGAGTGCCTGAGTCAGGCAGGCCTAGTGAGCCATGAGCGAGGCCACTCGGGACTACTACCGAAGCGCCGACGGGTTCTGCAGAGAACGCAGGCAGAACCGGCGCAGCGTTTGTAGGTACGCTGCATTCGATTTACTAACCGCGTGCTTGCATGCTAAGTCTCTTTATTTCAGGTGGTGGGTTTTCAATTTTGTCCCAATGCTTTGCTTTCTCATACAAATGTCTACCTGTACTCTCTTCTATAAACTTGCACACGTCACTTAAACCAATTCTAGTCCTTTTCCAAAACATTTTTGTGTTCGTGGCATTTCCGTAAAGTATACTTTCTGACCTCGTGAAATTATCTCGCATTCTTCTGTAAACAATTTACTTCAGATGCTCATTACTTTAAGATATGTCACCCTTTCCTTATGCATTACTCGATTTATTTTCTTTGTTATCTTTCTCTCAAGTGCTTTGCTGTTGCTTGATATCCCCGGTGAGGCTGCGCTTGATGTGCATGTTGACAAGGTGCCTACCTGTCTATTACCCACTACCTCGTCCATACTGGCTCCAGGAGACAGTTGGTCGTCGCTGGAGGGGACTGGGTGCACGGTCATTGTGGCCGTGTTAGAATCAAAGAGTGGTTCCATGCACTCAGTGTGGAGCGGACTACGGTCAAGCCACCGACTTGGTGCGCTTGATTCCCAAAATACAGCGTGCTTGTGTTTGCCTGTGAAGGAGTGTAGGCCAGCTCCGTTGATGAAACATGGCTCCCATCCACATGCCTCCCGGTCTTATTCCTTCGGGTTTACACTGGATATGGGGCGTGTGGTTGGAGTTGTGGGTGGTGCAGCGCAAGCCACCCATGGTCCCTCTGTAGGCGCAGGCGTCTTGTGGCTGGCCACAGAGACAGGCAAATCCGAAACCGGATGTCGCCAATCATGTTAAGTACCTGAGACTAAGCCGCTTGACAATGGAAGTTGGAGAGTTTGAAACAATCTGACCAGAGGTTGCCAGGCTTGAGGAAAGCGAAAGCAAGCAATTGAGCACCGAGCGGTATGCGGCAAACGTCAGAAACAGCGCGTGGAGCTCATGCTCTACGTCTGTCGGGCTGTGAGCTATTAACCCGTAAACAGGTTGTTCCTAATAACTAGGTTTTAAGTGGGGAAGATCATCAACCTCTCCTTAACCTCCGAGGAGGATTGTGAGACTGTTAGCCGGACTCCTAATCATTGATCTCTCTGGTATGACTAAACTTGGAAAATGCCACCCAGTGTAGCTCAATGCGTCATAGAAGTACGCAACTTATCGCACCACGTTAAAGTCAGACCTCGTATTCTGAAAACAGCCGGAAGGCTGTATTATCCAAATGAGGCTGTTCCATAATGAACACTCACAGATGCCGCCAGGAGCCGAACTTATACCCCCCAGACACGATTGATTTATACCCCTACGCCAAGGGTGAAGGCCAGACATTTACAACTATGCATTACGAAACTCCACCGCGTGAAGATGCTGATACATTGCAATTCTGACCAAGTGACCAAGCCAGTAAGAGAGTATAAGGTCTTTAGAAAACAGCACTTGATGGATGGTATAGTGGGTAAAAACGAGCATTGTAGTGGAGCCGTTTGTCCACCACAGATGAGACACGAGTGAACTTTCATCACATTGAAATCAAATAAAATATAAAATTGTAGTGCAATAACCAGCAGGTTAGTCACTATATAAATGCATGTATTGTACGCGTTAGTAACTGACTGACAAGTCCTCAGGCTAAAACCGGAAAGGATACCAATAGCGTTCCGGTCATTGAAATGGTCCTTCGTGCAAAATAGCAAGGACATCAGCTCGACAATCAGAAATAGAACGGAAAGCCAACACACGATCCTCATCCTAATGGGATAGAGATGATAATGATGAAGCGAACGGAGTGACACAAACCTGCTGGCTTTGAAGACGTACAGCTCGAGAGAAACAGATTCTGGCAAACCAGCTGTGATGATACGAATGAAATAAAGGTCCACAAACATAGTGAGGAGAACAACGCTCAGATGTGAAAGAATGGAGAGGACCCGAGTGCCAACCGAACAGGAACAATTCATCGTCGCTCTCCTAGAGATGAAGAAAAACGGATAAAATGTGTTAAACCAGTAGCGATCAGGACGAAAGCCAGATTCTGACCGAGACGATGTCAGCATTCGGTAAACAGTTGACATGATCAGCGACCAGAATAAATGAAAATAGATTAGGAAATCATAAAAAGCAGTGGCATCCAGTTCATTCCAATTGATGACATCATTGCTTTTCAGCTTTTATGAAACCAAAATATTTACCTTTGTTCGTAAAAGCGCGGAGGAGTTGAGTGATGGTCGACATATCACGTTCTTATATTTGTAGAAAACTACGTCTTGTTGAAACCTTTAGACGCATTTGAACTGTGCTATCCATCTAGCTCCAGATGCTACTTTACGAATAACCTAAATTCAAGTCACAGCAGGAAAACTTATATGAACCGAAGTCGTCTGATGATGTTATTTTAAGCCGAACCGGCCCTTAAATGGTAGCATCGATGAAGTAGTGAAAATTATGTAGGGGAATTTTTCTACGTCCCAAAAAACGTCTTTCACTTTGCTACGGACAGGAAACTTCAGTGTGCATATTTTAGCACCAGAGCCACTGTCATCGTTGATGTCGCGTACTCAATCAATCATAGGTCGCACTTCTAGAGAATCCCAGTATCATCACCATAATTGCACTTTGGCCAAAGTTGAGGAACGCCACAGCTATTGTGCTGCAATGTAATATAATGACACAGTTATGGAAAAGAAAAAAGCGAAGCAATAACATGCTTTATTATGTATTTCTGATAGGAATGTGGTTGGAGAAACAGACTGTGAAGTTAAGGGTCCGATGGGGTGCGCCTCAGACAACCTCTCTCTTGGCAACCACGTAGTACCGTGCCCTCTGAATAAACTATGGATTGTTCCCTAGTAAATCCGGTTCGCTTTTCGGAATGACTATACCTCCATTTTTAGCATATTTATAAAATGCAAAGAATAAACGGGCACGCAATCATCAAAATATAGGAAAAGGGAGGTACAGTTATCCCAAAAAGAAAACCGAACATAACATGGAACAATCCGCGCTTTCCTCAGAAGACGCGATACTGCCTGATCGCCAAGGCGGAAGTTCAGAGTTGTCTAATAGCCATCACCTCGAGCCCTTAAATGTTTATTTGCAAGGTGGCGTAGCGAAGTAAAGGGGCCGATGATTTAGCTCATATGACTTAGCATTGTTGGGTTCGTGAACGAGGGCTCAATACACCTTGCGTCCATTCGCTGAACCAAAATGCCCTAGAGGTTGCAATAGCCTAAGGTGCAGGTGTAGTTGTATTGTAGCAAATATCAACAACCATATACATCCGCTTGGATCGCGCGACGTTCCACTCATTGAAAAGCTCACTCCTAGAGGTTACCTGGTGCACGCTGCTTCTGTATCCATATTTAGTGCACATATATCTGCGGCTCCCAAGCGTTCTTCTTCCGTTGGGGTGCCGGTACAGTCCTCTGTTGGATCGCTACTACCTGGCTTTATTGGTACATGTATACTACTAACACTGGGCGCAGTAGTACATGCCTTTGGCACATCACAAGGTGAGGCAACGGGCAGTGACATTCGTTGGGGAAAATCCCATCCGTTACGCCACGGTATTGTTCAATGGATATTTATGGCTTTCCATAGGGAGAAAGCTTGTCAGGTAAAAACCCATCACATCCTCCGAATTATTTGCTGGGACAGGAAAAACCTGGTCAATCCAACTTGCACAACGAGTTAGTTCGAGAGACCAGTCGCCGTGCATTCACATTACCCAACGGGTTGCGATACCCTCATATCGCCCTGCTACCTTGTAGGTTAGATCCTGGATCAAAGGCTCGGGGTGGGGCCACCTAAGACAACCCTCTACTTCGGCCTGGGCAACCGAGTAGTATCTCACCCACTGACGAACCATGGATGGATCATCTCTCAAGCTAAGCGAAATGATCGGCCATCTCCAGTAAGGGGCTACTCTGTCCTGTGCACGGTAGTAACGTGTAAGTTGATAGTAAGCGGCGCTATAACCAGACCTACTCACGATGGTAGTCAACTGTCCCCTCATAACTCAATGGCTTTAGCCACAGACTGGCAACAGTCGAGTTGTGGATTCGAGCCCCATAGAGGTCAGATGAAATATGCATTGTTGACGATTCCCTAAAAAATGAAACAGGAGTGGAGTGCTTTTCAAAGTGCGTGATGGTTATCTGACTTAGTCTAAATGTAATGAATTTCCACTCGTACCATTCATATCCACCACTTAAAACTTTGTTATCTCCAGTTTCACATAGTCCAGATCCAAAGACAGAAAGCGGGTAAACTACTAGTCTTCAGATTGTGCTCGCTAGTTTCAGAAAGTGAAGCGTGTCGAGTCACGGGGAAACTCCCGACGGAACAAGGTTGAATGAGCCGTATTGCGACTGTCAATAAGCAGAAAGACATAAACCAGTGGGTTCCTAGCGCAAACACACAACAAGCTAAACAAGAGCATCCACCTTAGAACATAAAAGAAATTGGGACAGCGTTGACGAATATCAGTTTGTGTTTGAGAAGCGCGCAACAGTTCACAATGGACTTGGACGCAGCGGGAGGGAGCAGAGAACGTAATACGTTCACACATTTCATTCTAGGCGAGGATACAGAACATGAAGGAGTGATTGACAGAGTTGAGTGCGGTCTTGAAACCAGGGATCTCAGTCGTAACTGGTCTGCGGTACGCGTGACACTGCTCGTGCGATTGACGCAAAGCGGAAATATGATATACACGCTGCCGCACTCCTTGAAATGTTGCTCCTTGATTAATACAAATGCTAAAATGCATCCAAATTAGTTGGAATGGTTTCGTTATATCCTTAATCGAGGATATGAGTCCCGCTTAAAAAGGACCGCATTATCAAGCTAAGCTAAGGAGGGCAAAAGAGTTTGAATTAGCTAGGGAACAACAGTTAAAAGAAGCTACCATCCAGATGCTAGTATTTTAATGAAAATCCCTTTGATCTAACTGTGTACAGTAGAAGTAGTGAGTCATTTCATGAGCACTTAAGTGCGTCAAGAGACACATGAACCCACCTGCTCATTTATTGGAGCGCAATCAAACTACTAATCCAAGAAACTGATCTAGCCGTTCTATACTATTTTCCATTGAAGTTGGACATTCGGGCAAAACATTTACGCCTGGGGGTCAACGGGGTTGCTCCTCCGGGGCAATCAAGTTGAGTCTTCGCTATGCGGAATAGAACCACTCACCGGCATGGTAGGGGCTGTTTCATTGGTCAAGCGTCTGAGGTCCTATTTGCTGAAGGCGCTTGGCCAATGAAACAGCCCCTACCATGCCAGTGAGTGGTTCTATTCCGCATAGCGAAGACTCAACTTGATTGCCCCGGAGGAGCAACCCCGTTGACCCCCAGGCGTAAATGTTTTGCCCGAATGTCCAACTTCAATGGAAAATGGTATAGTTCTGAGCTAACTTATGTAGATGCGTTGGGATTCACACTATTGCTACCGTTTCTGAGCTGGTTCCATCAGAACTCTTATGGGTTATCTAGTTGAAATCTGATTATGGCTAGGGTAGGAGATGTAGAAAGTGGTGGCCATAACCAGAATTAGACACAAAGTGACTCCGATAAAGACGGAGTCCCTACGTTGAGGACCCCATCTGTTCTCCTGCCAGTATCCTTGTCCAAACCATTCCTCTTCGGAGGTTAGGAAGTGGTCGATGGTCCTCTTTCCGTAAAATCAAGCCATGAAAGACACGAGGTTCACGGGTTATAAGTTCATCGCTCAATTGGCGCACTGGCAATATCCCAGCCACATACAACTATGACATTTCCTTCAAACATAAACTTCATCCTGCATCCGCAGTCGCGCATATCATCAAGAGTCGCCTTATCTGCTGCATACAGCAGGGCGGATAAGCGAAAACATGCTACTGCTGGCGCCTCCCTTCTTTCTTTTCCACCTGTTTCTCTTACTCCCATCCCAACCCCCATTACTAACCTTCCTTCTATACTTCCCAGATTAATTGACAGCAAGCGAAGTGCCACTGGAGTAGAACCATCTTGTAGTCATCTTCCCACAACACCTATCGGCAACAGTCCCCTATAAGGCCATGCTGTCCCGTTTCCATTGCGACGTGCAACGTTCGCAATCAAAGACAAATAGCTCAACAGGCTGCACTTGCACGCACGCACCTTGGACACACTGGGTATTGACGTGTGTTGTGTGTCCGAAACTTGCGGCACAGTAGTTGAGGTGTATCCCACCTCTAGCTGATGTGCATAATGATCATGATGGGTCCGAAACAAGGACCCTAACGGAGTTGTTGAATTAACTGCACCCGGCTTATCCTCTCGTTATTGGTTGCACGCATCCGGAGACGCCGATGCAGCACTCACGAATCAAGCAGGTGTAGGTATCATTCTAAGCTCCAAGGCTGAGCCATGGTTGGTTGATTGGATTCTGGTGAACAGCCGTTTATGTGCAGCCCGTTTGACGACATCAGCCAAGGTGGATTCACGAAGTAGTACAAAACGCTGTTTGTTTGTGATTTCCGCTTATGCTCGCACCGATTGTAGTTCAAATGCTATCAAGGACACATTCAATCACGAACGGAATACGATAATGCGCAGTGCTACCAGTACAGATATTACAGTACTTGCAGAGGATATAAACGCATAAATAGGGCGTTAGAGCTCTTTAAAAGCTCAGCAGGGTGCTAATTATGGGCTTAACTCCGAACGGACCGAATACGGCGTGTCTGCTGCAACTGCGTGCGGAGCACCAGTTGTTTCTTAGTAGCACTGCTTTAGACACAGTGGGCGCCGAAGTGCCACTTGGCGTCCTCCTGTAGTTGGCCAGCGATAGACCCAAAATGACCACATAGCCATAAGTTATAGATGGCGTGGTTCCATACTGGATTGCCGCTCGTACGGAAATACCTGCGTCGACTCTGATCATGCCTTGGTACGCTGTCGTTTCTCCATGAAGTTTACCGGGAGGCGCACCAAGCGTCTCCTCCAATT